ATATTAATATAATTAAATTGAATAAATAATTTTTAACACAATTTTATATCATAAAAATAGTATTGCATTTGATTTATGAATTAAAAGTTAAAAATAAATCTAATTTTATATAAATTTGATTATATATTAATTTTTGGTAGAAATAGTAAGAAATGACTGTCCGTGTGATGTGTGGGACAGGTGTGTGGTATGGATGGAGTGGTGGATCAGTGGATCAGTTAAGCGGTGACGACATTCAATCGTCGCAATACTTTAGTCTTTTTGATAGAATAGGCGAAACCGAGGGATGAGTTGACAATCAAAAAGCTGATGATCACCGCAAAGACAGTGAAGACAACGTCAGCGCCGCTCAGATTACGGACATAAATGGAGGCCAGAATGATAGCGATTACCATCAATACGATCGCAGATATAGCGTAACCCAAAATGAGGTTCAGATGAATTTTGGTCTTATTTCCCCACCAAATGGCACCGATTATGCCCACAATCGCCACTCCGATCACCAGTAATGAGTAGATTATAAGCACAGACTTCTTCATACGAAGCGCTTCTCCGCCCAAACCATTGCCAGATATCATGAAATAGAGAGCGAATACAATGACAATAGCGTTGAGTGCAATGAGAGTATATCTCAATACTTTGAACACTAGATTAATGTATTCAATGATCGATTCTGCCATCGCTTCCCAAATTCACGGATTGTTTTCACAATTATTTGGTAACAATTAATAGATGTTTATCTTATTCTCAGACTTGACTTTCACTAAAACACAGCACAACTTATGGCAAATTGTATTTATGTGTCAATACTTTAAGAGTTTCACAAACTTTTTGTTGTTTTTTGTTCAGAACAAGAATTACATAAACATTGGATATTAAATAAGAAAAAAAGTTTTGGAGAAAATGACGTTTTGAATGGCTTTGAATGTATATTTGAAAAGACTTAAGGCGTTGGCAACGATTCTCAACACTTGGTGTGTGTTTTGTATGTAAACTGCGATCACTTCTTCAAAATACTTATTAATATATTTGCTTAATATTCAGACAATTCAAACACTAAATGAGGTTTTGATGTTCACTACATATAAAGAGTTGATTTAATTATAAAAAGTGTTATGAATTGAATTTTAGTGATAATCGCATTAAAATGTTTAGAAATACAAATATAAACACACGATATATGACTGAAATGTAATGCTTTTACAAAAACAGTAGATTTCATGCGATTGAGGTGAAGGTTGGACACGATCTGCAGATCTCTCTCCTATAAGACAACTATTTGTTTCAAAATAGCTCTCTCTCTCTCTCTCTCTCTCTCTCTCTCTCTATTGTCTAATAAGTCCACCAAAAAAATTATAAACCAATTGTGTTGTTGTCGTTAAGAATAAACGATATNCTGCTATCGTATTGATGGTAATCGCTATCATTCTGGCCTCCATTTATGTCCGTAATCTGAGCGGCGCTGACGTAAGCCTGAATTCTTGTTTTAAGTGAGGGCTCGTCTCTCTCGTCCACTAATTTATAGAGAGGTTTAGAGAATTTTAATGTAGTTTTTTAACGATATACACAAAAAGCATTTGTTTGTCACAAACTTTATTATAACTGGTTTTCAATATCTTCTTCCATAATATAATTGGTACTAAAAGTGAGAAATGTTTGTAATTTATATCTTATAAGAAATACCGGTATTGGGAGCGGACCACAGATTATGTTGCTTTAGTGCCGTATAATATATTTATAATTCATTTGTTAATATAAATAATTTATAAATATCTGTGTTTATATAATTATACATTTATTTGTACATTAATTCGTGCATTAATACAATTATAATATCAATTCAATCGCTTTGAGTATATTTTGAATTTTGAATATTGTTGAAAAAATTTTGTTTTATAAATTAAACATGTTTTTATAATCTCTAATATCTTGTTATAACTTTCCATTCACTATAAATCATGAAGTCATTGGATATTTATTTCATGACTTTTTACCATTTTTGCGATATTTATAAACTATTTTAATTCAAATTAATTTTTTAACAAACAAATGCTAACGTTTTAAAAAATGTTGTAATAATATTAACACTATTTTAAGATAAAGTATACGTATATAAATATAAAGGACAATTATTTACAAATGAATGTTTAAATAAAAATTTTTTAGTTGTAATTATAATGAAAAATATATTAATTTTATTAAACAATCTGAAATGAAAATTTAAATACAGTAATTATACAAATGCAAGAGTTTTACGTAAATTTAATTTTATAATTGAACGAACTTTTGAAAAACATTAAAATTAAAAAACTCTTTAAGTCATAATAATAATAACACTTAAAGTCTATGCCATTAGATGTTATCTAAATTATGCCTTTGAGATAAACATCTAATTTAAAGCCAGACAACAAGTGATGAACTTTTCTTAGGAAGAATAGATTCATTAGAAGTTATCAATTGACTATTAAATGCACTCAAATTTGCATTTTCACTCCATTCAAGTGTTATATCTTTTTCATCTCGTTTTATATTATTATCGATTTAGGCTTCGGTCAGTCGGACAGACGGTTGGCTCTGTTTTGCAGGTAATTTCTTAGAGTTGAGTTCACAACACGAGATCAACTGAAGATAACTTTATGTTTTCTAATACATGTTTACAGTATTATAACTATTATAATTTATAAGGCAATTACTTTTTGAAAAATTCATAAAATATATTAAATGTAATTCCTATTTGTTTTTATAAATTGTTTAATTCTAGTAATTATTTTACAAATTGCTTTGACGGACAATATTTGACAGAAATTAAATTATTAAAAATAGCATGAATTTTAAAATCATGATAAGTACAAGTGAAGAAATATAAAACCAAAACATGTAATTTCAGACAAGTTTAGTAATTCTGAAGTGAGTGTCAAGCATTTAATTAAAATGATTTGTATTTCAATTATAATTAATAATATATATTTTATAAAATTTAAAACCAGTAATAAGTGACATAAATGTGTTAATTCATGTCAAGATTGACCACAAATCTCTTTTTTAAAACAATTGGTCGGTCATTGAAAGACTGCTATTGTTTTATAAGTTGTTTTATATTTCTTACATTTTGTATGACTTTTTTGATCCGTTAAAGAATATGAATAAATAATAATTTAATTTAATGTTAAATTTTATATTAATATAATGAATAAAAATATTATTATCTTTTAAATACCTTATAAAAAGTTAAATTTATTAATAATAAAGTTTAGTATATATTTTTACACAACACTTACCATAATGCATTAATTAATGAATTTATTATTACCATAGTCTAAATTACTTTTTCAATAAAATTTTAAGCGTTAGCTATAAATTATTACTAATAATTTATTAGCAATCGAGACATAAGACTTAATTTTAATGGATCTTTATATAATTTTCTATATTTTTTAAAATTATTAAGTGCTTTATAATTATGTTAACTAATCTCAAAAATAATTGAGAAATAATTTAATTTCTTATAACACAAAATATGTGTAAATATTCAATTGAAATGCTGAAAGACGGCCGTGAAGTGAATGGGAAATAATGAAAATGATTGCTAACTACTAATCGAGATGACAATTGTGCCAAAATGGAGCCCCAAATAACTGTTCCACCCTTTTATAAATTAAGCTCAAAGACATTTTCGCCACTCATTTCATGATTATTTTACCTGTTTTTGAAAAATTAAAATTGAAATCCGTTTGAAGAATGAGATAAAATCCAAATTGAATATTGAATATGAATGAAATGAAAAGGCAAAGAAATATTAGATATTGCTTTTAATTAAAAGATACAATAAATAACATTCTTAAGAGTAAATCCATTATAACATGTATTTTTGCAGCACATGTTTGTGAAGTAATTCTTGTAATAAAATACCCCCAAAAATTAGCATTTTATGTGATTTATAAGGAAATTTTGATTATAATTATAATATTACGAAAGAATGGTCTTATGGTAAACCTACACATCAAACAGTGAATATCCAATAAATCATAAAAATTATTGCGGCTTAAAGTATACAATACATAGAGTATAATATCTTATATCTGTGTTTAACCAAATAAGGTCTGCAAATAGTATCACAATTGCATTAATAGATAATTACAATTCAATATAAATGATTACTAAATATAATACATTGGAAATGAATGACTGAATGATTACAATTGAAATCATAGTTAAGGGATGTATTGAATTGTGCATTGAATGCAATACTGTTGTCAGAGAACCAGACTTTGGAAAAAGTGGGACAACAATGAAAAGTCATACTCTGGAGTGTGAACTATAAAAACATTCAATATATAAGTCAACGCATATTTAACGGTATGAATTGAAAAGTAAGTTTTGTATTGACTTTCATTTGTATCAGTGGTTTAGTGTAAGAAAGATAGAGAGCTGAAGGAATTGGTGGCAGAGGTTTGGTTTTGGGTGTCTCTCCACAATCTGAGGCAAACAACAAGACAGTGGCACTCAAATCAACGCAAATCACAGGCAATATCAGTGCATTATATGTGCGCTCGGCGTTTGGGACTAACAGTAATCATTTCACTGTCACTTTACGCCAATCAATGAGTTGTTTGAATGTTTGAATAAATTTCAAGTGAGAGCTATTTAATGGAAGATAACCTACATTTTCACTGTCAGTGAACTTTTTTGCTCTGTTCTGCCACTGGTCTCAACAGATCTCCTGTTTTACACACAAAAAACTGTTCAAATCAGTGGTCCGTTATGTTCGCCACCGAAACACCACTTATATTGATATTGATTTCCCATTAACCACAACCACGGAATCGATTCCCTTATATGACTGACTAAATGAATATATCATTCATTTCCACATATTATAGCCGTTGTGTCGTATTATTGCTGTTATTTATATGCAATTGTGAATCGGCTTTAAAAGCAACCAATTATACGGAGTAAGTGTTGATCGCATTTACGGTTTCGCTTTGTTTAACAATTATTTTCTCTTTCTGTTGTTGTCTTTCTGTTTCGCTTAATCTTTAATCAAAATGTTTTAAATAGAGTTTGAAATTATAAAAACACTTAGATTTCATGTTTACTACTATTTCTGACATCAATTATCATTGCTTTTTGAAGATTTATTTTTGGATCCGATTTAAACTACATTTCACTTATCAATTATTTATAGTAAACATTAAATTTTATTTTTATTTAGAATTCAATAAAAACTATTCATAAAACTATTTTATAATCTTTATTGTATAAAAAGTTGTTCAAACTTTTTGATCTTTTATTTCATCATTTCTTTTACTATTCTGTAAAGTATTGTATTTTTTGCAAAAATAGTTTGTTTTGCACTCAATCTCTATAGCATTTAAATCTTTTAATGTGATTAAAATTATAAGTAATGTTTGCTTTGTTTTGTCAAGACTTTTATTGCAATCAATTTAAATTGATTTAAAAATAATATAAAATTAAACTTAAATTAAAAATTAATTTCCGACAAACAATGAATTGGCACTAATTGTTTGCAGGCATTGAATGAACCGCTGATTACTAACAATAATCGTAATTTCTTAATTAATTTGCTCATTGAGAGTGTGTTTTGCATTGATTTTAATCGTTTATTAGTTGTTAATATGCGTTAAACCACTTCTTCGAGGAAAAGAAATTTAATAAAATTAACTTTTCTTTTATGCCTTAAAAGCCATGCAATCGTAAAAATACGTCACGAAAACCTACACCTCTTGAATAGGGATCCAAATAATGAGATCACTTCACCTGAGGATGAGGTGAGCATTCATAACACTTTTATTACACAAATAATTGCACATTTTTCTCACTTTTTCTCTCAATAAAAAAACATTTGAACTTTTGTTGAATTAATTATTTAATCGCTTTAATCACATGAAAAGCACGACGTCTTATGGGTGGACACAACCGATAATAACTCGTCCTATGCTTTCGTGCGGCTATCGGGGGCTCACGTGCGGCGAATCCGAAGCGCCCGATGGTTTAGGGGCTCATCGGTAATGACCGATAACCTGCAGTCGTGGTTGGAGTCATCGAAGGAACTGCAGACGTCTTCGAGTCAAATCCAGGCCATAAGGGGTCGACAGTCGGCTGTCGTGCCATCGTTTTCGTTAGACAAATATCATCCGCTGAGTCAAGTGAACCGATATCTGTCACAAATCAATAATATCGGTGGCGTCAGTGTGTTTGACATAGGGGTCAGCCATGAGGGACGACCCGTCAAAGCGGTCCAAATCAGGAATAACCCGACGAGTAGTGACTATATATTTATCGACGGCTGCACTCACGCCAGGGAATGGATAACTGTTGCGACCATACTATACATCATTGACACCATAATTGGCAATAATGTAAAGCATAACTTCCTAATCGTTCCCATTATTAATGTCGACGGATATGACTACACGTGGAATACGGACAGACTTTGGCGCAAAAACCGTCGGCCCTATACGGCCAGCGCTTTCGGCGCCACTGAAATGCCCGACCGATGCAATGGAGTCGATCTGAACCGCAATTATGACGTCAACTTCGGCGGAGAGGGCGGAAGCGCTAATCCCTGTTCCTTCCTATTCGAGGGTCCGTCGCCTTTCTCTGAGCCAGAAGTGAAAGCCGTGAGTGAATTGCTGTGGAAATTCAGCACTCGTATCAAACTGGCCATTTCGCTCCACTCATTCAATCAACTCTGGGCCTGTCCTTACGCCTACACCAAGAGCTCGTCCATGGATTACAGTCACCACATGGATGTACTCCGGGATATACAACAGGCCGTCTATCAAACCAATGGTGTGAAGTACCAAATCGGACCGTTAGGACAGTCGCTGTACGTCGGCTCCGGGTTTATGATGGACTGGATGTACACCAAACTGGGCGTCACTAACAGCTATCTGTGCGAACTCCGGGACAAAGGAGTGTACGGTTTCCTATTACCGGCCGATCAGATACTGCCCACCGCTCGCGAGACCTGGAATGGTATCGCAGCCGCCATTAGGAAAATATTTTAATTTCTCATTTAATAAAACTTTCTTAATTTAATGAACAAATCGTTTGCTTGAATTCATGTGTAATTTTTAGGACATTAAACATTTTACAGTATTTTTTAATATTGTTAATCAATTAAGTTATTCATTAGCTAATGATAATTAAGTGAAAAATAAATACAATTGTTTGTGAACCCGTTTTTTATTTGAATAACTTTATTAGTGAACATTTACCAATTGTTTACCAAGTGTTTAACCGATTGGTAATCATTAATCTAATTACTTTCTGTCTCTAATTGTTTGTCTGTTTTTTCCATTATTTTCATAAGAAGTAGAAACAAATAGATTACATATTATAAAATTATTTGCATTTTATTTATTATAAGAAAATATGTCAAATATTTTTGATGCCACTCATGTTGCTATTGTTTTTATTAACTGTTTCTTATATGATATCTTATTTAATACATTTTACAACATTTAGATGAACTGATTTTGATTGTGAAAGTCAATGAAATTATTTATTTTATACATTGTATGCAATGATTGAAGATTGTAATCAAATCATTTCAAGCTTATTGTCTGCAAACCATTGAAGATATTATGTTTTATATTTTGAAGTTTTTATTTCATTGAAGTAATTTACCTTAATATTTGTTAAGAATCTCTCACATGATGGCCAATTTATCAAAATATAAATAAAATTATATAAATTTGTTTAAATTATGGATTAAAACTAGGATTTCTTGCTTAATAAGTAGTATTTATTTTAAATGTGAGGAAATAATTTCAACGAATATTATAAAAATTAAACTTTTTTGAAAATAACTTTAAAGAAATGTTTGTAATAAATATTTAAGACTATTATAAAATCAAAATGAAATGTTTGTGTGATTGATGTGTTTTTGATGAAAATTCAGCAAAAAATGGATAATAAAAAATAATTGTCAATCAATGGTTAGATGTAATGCTTATTCCAAGACTTAAGGCCTACGGGTATCCCTGGGCTTCACCCCCACATCGAGACACAGCGTCTAATCAATAATACCCCGTATGGTTGAGCCACTCATATACTTCACACCCGACGGCACTTTACTGTTAGGACATTGTTTAGTAGCCGTGCACTCGATGTGGGGGTGAAATGCGTGTATATGTTGTTAGACTTAAGATAAGGTTATGCCATAAGAGTGTACTGTATATGGTATTTGACTACAGACAACATAAAGGCAAATACATTTAATCAATATAACACGGAAATGAATTAATAAATGGCATAAAATTGTATATCACGTGACAAATTAAATAAGTAATTAATTATTTAAAGCAGTAGTAATTTTGTCTCAATATTTGGTTCACTACTCACACTATATTTTCCTCGTATTTATTTAACATGTAATTGATTTACAATTTATTTGCAATGTTATGCTTTCATTAACTCAATTAATGGATCAGTTAAATAGCCAACAAAATAATGTAAAATTGTAAAATGTGCTTTAGAATTCAAGAAATTACTTAATTAATTGCAATTAATTAATTCTGATCTTAATTATTCAAATACTTTACAATAAATTAAAATATTAATTATTTTCAAATGTAGCCATGGAAAATTTTAAAAAATCAATATAATGATGTACAGACAATTAAAATCATTATGAAGTATTAAAAATTTAAAATAATGATTTAATTATGATAAAATTTAATGTTATGAATGTTTCTAAATAAAAATTGTATTTTATTTAGTCTAATACAGTACTGTATATTATAAAATTATAGAGATTTCTATGAAAGACATTTAGAAATGAATCTACAAACTATTTGAATTTATCATAAATAATTTACTTAATTTTTTAACTTTCAATTATTTTATTTAAATGATATTAGCAGTAAATAGATTATCAAGACTTGTATTAACCTGTTTAATAAAACATACATATCATGTATGTGATGTTTTTATTTTCTTGTCTTAATTGTCTTTTAAAAACATGTGATTCAAAAATGAATAAAATATATGTGAAAAACAAATACACAAGAATAAAGTAAAATACATCTCATATTTACCACATATAAAAACTCTCCAAATTAACAATAAATTTATACGATATTTAAATTAAATTAATTAAAAATCTATTATTTATGTTGATGCAAATTACAGTTTGTTTTAAATAATCTGTAATACAGATTCTGTATTATCTATAATTTAAATATCTGGTCACTCATGTAATCAAAACTCATTTAAATTTAAAGTATTATAACATAAAATTTTATAAAAATTGTCAATAAAACGAAACCAAATTTTAATGGTAATTATTTAGAATTTGATAATTGTTGATTAAATTGTAATTTAAATTTTTTATTAAAATTATTTTTACAAAATAATAATATAAATACATACATAATAAAACTATGTTATAAAAATAATCAGGTGTCTATTGTTTACAGAATCTCATATTTTAATCTAACGTTTTACTTTAAATAATAAAACATGAGCATTTATTTTTATGATGGATTGTATTTTATATTAGTGTTTTAACAATTCAACACAATTCATTTAGCACAATATAAAGTACATGTAGATTAGTATAACAAAATATACTATACATTATATAGATAACAATTATTAAATGTACAGTAGTTAGATTGACTAGATGCTTATTTTAACCATCATAATTTGAAAATTATTTTGAAATATTTTAAACATTGAATCCAAAAGTTCTTAAAATTCAAGGATTCAAAGAATTAAATTTTGGGTGTTTTCCCAAAACTAAGTTTAAATTTTATATATAAGGTATCAAATCTGTATAAATAGAAAATGTTTATAAATTTAATCAATTCTTTGTCTCACTGTTTAATAAAGAGATTTAACAAAATATGAAGGACTAACAAATTGCATGTATTTATGTATAATAACTATTCATATGATTCCCTACTAATTACAACATTAATGTATAGTTTGCTTCGAAACCAATAATTAAATCTAAAAGTTTATTCAATTATAGTTTATCTGAAATTATTTAGAAATCCTTCGTTTAATGCATTTGTTTTCTGTAAATCTGCTGAAAAACAAATGTTCATAAATTGATTCAACAATTTTTTAGTGCAATAGTCATTTAATAATAATTTTATAACTACTAGAAAAACATTGATTTTTTAAAATTAATTAAAAACAAATTAAAAATATTTTGGCTCTCATATCACTAATTATAACGAAAATTTGTGATTCAAAAACTAAAATATGCCCAAAAAATCATTGATACACTTCTAAGGCCTATCATTGGGTCTTATAATCTTATGGTATATATATTTGGTCATAAAATTATCATATGTTTAAAAACAAGAGAAAGTCAAACCTTGTTTGGAGTCACAAAATATATCTAAAATTAAAATATTCTGTATATTTAATTAATAATAAGACAAAGTCAGACCCAATGATATATAACACCCACTCATGTCATGAATTAGCATTAAATATGATAACTATTTCATAGTTACCGACCAATGGTTTGAATTTAGAGTCAATTGAGACCACAATAACAATATCTTTTGCCAAATATTTCGAAACTTAATTAAAACAAAATTAATTAATGACACGAATTTGTAAACGTATTCTTAAATATATGTAATTTTCAAATCTATTTTCTCATTTCGTGTCCGAAAACAATTTGTTTTACAATCAAAATACATGTGTTTGGGTTGAAAATGATTATAATTGCATCCTTGAGTGTGAACTGCCAGTGCTATACAATTAAACAGATAAGACTTACAACAGTCTATACGTGTTGCCACAAAAAGCCAACAAAATTCAATAATAATTCAAAGAAATGACTGCTTAAACACACTATAAAACACTCGTCGATGGGATCATCTCTCGTACGAAAGCACACCAAATAAAGTCAAACTAAAGTTATATTATATAACTCTAAGGTTTCCTTCTTATGATCGACTCGTTGTAAAAGATGAGGGAATCAATTGACGACTCGGTGTCCTTCGGTTTCATTGAATCGCTTCGTGAAACCTATCATTTCAAGAACGCCTGTCGCCCACAGCCTATACACCAAAATATATATTATTTTCAATTCAATTCTTATGATTACTTATTTACCATTCATTCTATGCAAGCATTTATTGCTTTTTTCTCACATCTTATTTGTAGTTCATTAGGAAATTGCATCACTATTTTGCTGGAAAACAACTCTTTCTCTCCTCTCACTTCTCCGACAACTAATATATTAGCGAATTATTTCTCACTTCGAGTCTAATTGTTTGTCAGCATTATATTAGTGTTCATTTCCATCCCATTGAATGTTATACTAAATTTAAATCATGAAATACTTTGTGTTACTCTATTGTTTAGGTAAGTGAATGAGATGTTTAACTTATAACTGTTACTTTTATTCTGTATTAATTAAATTTTAATTTACATCTAATTTAATTTAAACTATAATCATAATCATATTTTCTGATTTTTGAACCAAAAATGTAAATATATTTCACTGTTTAAGTGAAACCATTCAAAATAAGGTTTATAGGAATGAACTCAATGTTAAACTCACAATTATTTAAACTTATTGTTGACTTAACGTAAAATAAATATTTGCTATTTATTTCATATTTTAAAATTCAAAACATATAAAAGTCCTTGTAATCAATTCTTATATACATTTTAGTTTAGTTATAATAAATTGTTACACTATTTGAGGAAAACTAACAAAATTGTATTATTTTAGACATAAATGAGGCATAAATTGCAATCAAAATACCCAGAATTTTGATGTTTTGTTGAACTTTAAATTAGTTTTAAAAGTAAACAAAGAGAATCATTGAGAATATCATTGAAATATTTTCATAAAAGATAAGTTTATTAAACACAACAACTTTCAAAGCTTTGGGCGATTCTTGGACTCAATATAAAATACTTTAAAATAAATCAAAATTAAATTTTACTTTAAATTACTTTAAATTCTTTTAATAAATAAATTCTAATGAATTGCATAAAACATATTTAGCACTAATACTGCCTCAAAGTCTAGTCGGTGTGCAACAAGTGGTTCAGTCGAGCGCTTCAGACGTTGTCACTGTCTTCCGGAACAGTAACTGTCGGTATCGGACGTACGGTAACTGTCGGCTGCGATCAGTGCCGTGTCCTTCATCTGCACAGTGCTATCCGCCACCCGTTGTCCAGCAACACGTCGATGTGGTTCAACAACACGTGGATCTGCCTGTCGTTCAACAACATGTGGTTCAACAACAACACGTCGATGTTGTCCAACAGCACGTGGATGTGATTCCCACCACTCAGAGACACGTGGATGTGATTCACGTCCCGCGACAGACCAAACGGATCACAGCCTGTCCTCAGGGCCACTATCTGTCAGCCGATGGCACGCATTGCAAACACATCGACTGCGACGTCGGCTTCACTTTCAGCGATGAATACCTGAAATGTGTTGACATTAATGAATGCGAAAGACATGTCTGTCTTCACGACGAGTCGTGTATTAATACTCACGGATCGTATATTTGCCGAAAGATTTGCACGCAATCGGGATATCGATTAGATGTCAGAACCAATACATGCGAAGACATCAACGAATGTGTCGAAGGGACACATCTTTGCGGTCCTCAACAGACATGTATTAACAGACCCGGAGGTCACGAATGCCAGTGTCCGCCGGGTTTTCGCCTAAACGGTCCGCTCTGTGAAGACATCAATGAGTGCCTGCATTCACACGTCTGTCCGGCGGAGACCTCTCACTGCCATAACATTCCCGGCAGTTATCGATGCGTTTGTAAGTCAGGCTTCAAAGACGACGGCAGCGGAAAGAACTGTCTGGACGTCAACGAGTGTCTCATAGGAAACGGCGGCTGTTCTCACGTCTGTATCAATAAGTTTGGTTCATACGAGTGCTCGTGTCCTAAAGGGTACGAACTGTCACCCGATGGCCGCACGTGTCTGGACATCAACGAGTGCGCCAAATACGGCTCATCGCACTTATGCACACCCGAGACGTCGACGTGTGTCAACACTCCCGGCTCTTATCACTGCGATTGTAAGCTCGGCTTCAGAGACGACGGCAGCCGTAAGAACTGTCTGGATGTGGACGAGTGCTCAGAACACACACACCTCTGCCAACAGAAATGCGTCAACACTTTCGGCTCCTATAAGTGTCTCTGCAATCGAGGCTATCGTTTGGTGGATACCCACCGATGCGAAGACATTGACGAGTGTCATGAGGGAGACTTCATTAACACTGTGGCCTACAGTCGCTTCAAGTCAGACACCGGTCGACCCCAACTATGTCAGGGCCACTGCGAGAACACCTTAGGCTCCTATCATTGCACTTGTCCTCATGGATATAAACTACAATACGATCACCACTGCGTGGGTTTGTCACACATTTTCCACTCAATTGCCCACACATTCAATTCATTACAGCGTTTACTATAAATGGTTTCTATATTTAGATGTAAATGAATGTCAAGAACACGGCTATTGTCGCGGACACAACCAGACGTGCGTTAATTTAGGCGGAAGTTTCAGATGTATTCAAACTGAATGTCCGCACGGATACCATAGAGACGGAGCGTAAGCGTTATCATTACAATTTATAATTTCATCAATTAATCTCTCTCTCTCTCTCTCTCTCTCTCTCTCTCTCTCAATTGTAGTCAATGTAAAATAAGTCAACGACTGGTTTACGCCGAGATATGCGACGACCCGCACATCAAATGCGATATCAATCAAATCATTTGCTATTCGTATGCATACATACCCTTCCGATCAAACTTTCTGCTCAAATCAGAGTCGGGTTCCCACGAGTTCTTCACATTCATTGTGCCGATAGAGCCGCCGATTATTGCGGAATTTGGTTTACGTATGATTTCAGTCAAATCACCAAATCTTCACGTGAGGTCCGCCACGAGAGAAGACTTTTACCTGAAACGGTCGAAAGATAATGAAGTGAAGATCGCTTTATTGAATCCATTGGAGGGCCCGCAAGACATTGAACTGGAAATTGAGGCTAAAATGTATAAGAATGGCATTCAAATCGGCAGAAATATCGCTACTGTTATGCTATTCATATCTGAATTTGAATATTAATTGTTTACTAACTTATTATCTTTTATTACTTATACTTCTGTTTGTGTAATGAATTTAATATAAGTAGTAATTATACAATTTGTTTGAAATTTTGTTAAAAAACAATAAAAACTTTTTTTAATGAGTCCTTTTATAGAGAATAAAACTTTCTATAAAACTTAAACATTGATATTTAAAGTGTAATCAGCTGGGTATATTCTTTTTATAAAAACATAATGATAACAATTATAAATATCTTATAAATTCACTTTACTATAAACTTTGTTAACAGATTATAATGGTTTAAAACATTAACTTTCATTAACATATTTATATCATAATATTTCCTAAACATTTTTCATCTAATTTTTATTTAATGCTAATTTTTAATTATTATTTACAATATAGTTAAAATTCTTAGGTTTATTGCATTTTTCTTATCTTTTCTATTAAAATTTAATAAAAGAACATTTAGTGTTGAAAATTTTTAAATATTAAAATATAACTATTTCATAAAATTAGAATAATATATGGTAAGTATAATTTTAAAATTTATAATAAAAATATGATTATAACAAACTGTATTTTAACTTTATAAGTCTTTGGCTAAAATCTTTAGGATATTTAATATAAACAGTATTTAAACATTATATTTAAAATTATCCAGATTTTCTTAAATCTAACGTATATGTAATTTATTAAAATATCATTATTATTTATAAAATTATTTATATAATCATAATAAATGTATGTTTATCCGTTAAAATATAAAGTTAGAATTGTTAAAAAGTTCCACAAACCTACAAAAATAGTTAAATCTAAAGTTTACAAATCTATTTACAAGTTTTAATTCAGAGTAACTACTGTTAAAATCATTTGATTCAATTTAAAGCCTTTTGATTTGATTTAAAGCTTTGATTCAAAATCTATTTTAAAATAATTTATTATTAAATATAATATTAAAAACGTTATTTCGGATTATTTAGAAAGTAGTGATCAGTAGTATTCGTCTATTAATTGGTTGTTTACAATAATGCTTTTAAATCCGGGTCTTTTTAATTCCGTGAGTACCCCCTCTTTCTGCCCCCCATTGACTGAACCCATACATTACGTACAGTACACACCTACAAAATCATCCAATAATAGAGGGACACGGAATTAAAAAGACCCGGATTTAAAAGCATTATTGTTATTAATAAACATTTAAAACAAATATTTGTCTCAATAAAATAAATAATAAAATTAAGATAACAGTAAACTTGTTTTGAGTTTGAATATAAGGAAAAATAATTTGTTGATAAAAACGAGACTTTTATCCTTATTTTAATCAAATAAATTGTTAACTATTAATAAACAAATTTCCAATTTATCGCATATTTTATGCTTAAACTCCGTAGAAATAATTTATTTTGCAAATTTTACCTCAAATCAAGTGTTCACATAAAACGTATATACCGTATAAAATGGCAGTATTTTACCGGTAATACAATGTCACATCAAGTTCAAATATGATTTTTCTAACATCAAGAAATATACTACATACATATTATTACTCTCACTCCTAAAACTTATATTTCAACTACGAACTACAATGAATCATACTTAAACTTGACTTAATATTAGTACTAGCGGTAAATTAATGTCATTTTATGTGTTATATACCTACAGGTACTGTAGTACGAGTGCACAACCAGTGGACGCAGTATAGGAATTACACATTATACATGGGGCCGTATATTAATTATACACCTAAATATATTTTATAAAAATCAGAATTTAAGACATTAATATTAATATATTGCCAATTAACTGATTAATACCATAAAATTCACTTTAATAAATTTATAACTCATTTTTAAGTGACAGAAATACTCGATAGCTTCATTCACACACAGAGAGAAATCAAAACAAGTTTAAATTGATTTATTAGTTTTAATTAATATTTGTATTATAAAAACTAGTTATAAATAATAAATTAGTTTTGAATCGTTTTTTAAAAAATGTCACAAAAAACAATAACTAGTCTTAACTAATAAACTAATTGTCACAAATTTTTTATGGATAAAAACAAGTTTTAATTGGGAAACGAGTTGTGAATAGTATTTCCAAATGTGTCAATCATTCCCATTAGAGGGCAGTCTATGAGAAGACGTTGTGCCCAAAAACCAATCATTTATTAGCGCGCTTTCTCATTGAACACAGCATTCATTGTGCAGTCATTTGATTGTTAATTGTATCCCAATTTTAAGTGTGAAATCAATTAATCAATTGTTGAAACAAATATTCAGTTAAACATTTGTTCACTTATTGGACACATTGAATACAAGCTTCCAATGGTTCACACATCTGATGGCATAACACAATGTATGCTACGATTGCGCAATCGTAGCATATAGTGCAACAATGGCTGATGTGTGAGACGACCGCACCTTCAATATTGTGGATAAATTATTGTCACAATTAAAATTAATTCGTTATTTAAATGAATTCAAAGGTATGTATTGTGTATTACAAATTATTGGTTAAATTGTTTATGGTTTATAAACATATAATTGTAATTATAATAGAAACACGTGTTCATCTCATTTCATCTCATCTATTACATACATATAAGCCTCAGATATCAGTGATGTCGGGATTCAATTGAGAGAATCTTTATGAATTGGATTATAACTGAAGACATATCCAAAGAAGTTACGTAGAAGACAATTGAATGAAGATTATTATGAGCGACTATTGAGTCACTCTTAATGATAATCAGTCGCGATTTGAATCAAATAAGAGTTTTATTGAATAAATTGGACTGAAAATGAGATACAAAAATGGCGTTTAGGTATGACTGAGCGCTGAGTTAAGACTGAAGGGCTATATGAGGCATAAGAGCGCTAAATATACAAAAGTGCGCTCAAAAGTACATAAGAGTATTGATTGAATGAGCGATTGGAGAGACATCTGTCTCACTCCCCTCCTCTTAGACCGAATACGCCTCTGAAGACAGGGACGACTGCACTGGATTGGCAGACGACATGTCCATCTGATACAGTATTGTTGTCGTTGAGGGCAGTGATGTCTTGCGTTGTCGATGCATTTGGATGTGTCGGCGAGTCGTCGAGCCGAGAGTGATCTAAACGTGTGCACTGAGACTTCCAGTGGTGTTCAGTGATCCCGAGTCCATAGTAACAGTGAGGACACGGCTTTGTCGGTGTCGTCGATCGTGACCAACGCTTAGAATCGAATCGTTTTTGAGGTATGGCATCGTTTCGGTGATTTGGATATTGTTTGGCTTTTTGTGGAGTTCTGTTGTGCGGCTTATCGTTCATATAGTAGGAGACGAGGCCTCGGGTGATGCCATTGTTCGGCATATTGGCGGTGCTGTTGTGTGTGAAGCGATAGTTGTTGTGGTTTGCGTTGCGTTTGTGTGATTGGCATGAATGGCATGAACGCACGTATTGACTGACGTCTTTGTCTTTGCCGGGCCACCAGAACTGGCGACTCAGAAGTTGGAGTGTCTTTGTGGCACTCTTGTGGTTCATTTGATCGTGAAATTGTTTGATTGTTTTGGTGGTCAGTGAACGCGGGACCACAGTTCTGTCGATTCCATTGAATCGGACTTTTGTTATGCCATTTGTTGTGATTGGATTTCGCAATTGGTATTCTTTGAGTTCGTGTTGGCGCTCTGCGATAGAGTGCATATGAGTTGATTGCTGTCCTTTGGGTTCTATGTGTGCGACTGGTTTGATGTAACCGATTCGCGGCGTACATGTGATGAGTGTGTGCACGTGTGGGCGCTTAAAGCTAACTTCGAGTTCGAATAGTTTTGCGGCGTCTGTTCCGATAAGCATATCGCTCGCGAAGTCTTTAAACACGTGAATTGGCAGTCGTTTTGTTTTGTTGCCGATGCGGACCGTTGCGTCGATGCGGCCTTCGGTAAAGGTGTTGCCATTCACTTGATTTATTGATATAGCAGTGCCTGGAATGGGCGTAAAGTTGAGACGTTTGGCAGCGGCTAACGACATGGCCGTGATGAGCGATCCGGTGTCGAGAAAGGCACGGATTCGTCTTCCATTGACCTCTAAGTCGAAATACTTGAAATCGCTGTACGTCATGGCATTTGATGTGTTGTTTGCTTGCGGACCGACCAGTGAAAGGGGTTGTGTCTGTTGTTGCGCCGGCTCTATCTGTGTATTGTTATGCGATTGGTTTTGATTGAGAGGACAGTCTGACCTCCAGTGCATTTCCTGTTTGCCCTGTCGTTGACAGTCAGAACACGGATAGGGTGGCGGTCTGTTGGCGTTTTGTTGGTGCCGTTGCTGTCTATTAAAATATGTGTAGTTGTGTGGGGACTCGTCGTCCGTTGTGTTATGGCATGTGTTGTCAAATGGCTTCGAGAAACGCTGTCCCTTCGATTGCTCGATGTTGCGGGCGATCTCCACCCACTCCTTCACAGATTTCGGGCGATGTACAGCGACAGTTGTCCTGAACCAATCGGGTAACCCGTCTTGAAGTAATGATAGCTGCAGGTGTTCGGGAACGACGGCCTTTGAGAATAGACTTGCCATTGCGTTATAAAAGGCAGAGACTGTTTCGTTGCCTCGTTGCCATTTGCGGGCCTTTGCTTCAGCGAGAGCGTCGCCTCGATATATGTCAAATCTGTCGATCAGTTGTCGTTTACATTCAGACCAAGACATGGAGTCCAAATGCGACGTCACTACCCGAGCGTACCACTGGAGTGCTTCTGCGGACAGGTGTCGTGGAAGTGCGAGTACGCGTTCACGATCTGTATAATCTATAGTCACGGTCTGGTAGATGAGAACACAGTCGTCGATATTAACGCTGTTTGCTGTGCCGTCGTATTTGTCGCACAAAAGATGAGATGTCTTTCGTGACATTGGTTGCGTTTGAATTGAGTGATCGGTTTGCGAGACCGACTGTTGGAGTATTTGCGGCCCTATTGAAGGCGCCGATGTGTGAATCATTTGCGGATCAGATTGTTGAGCTAAAGGTGCGGCCGATGATTGATGCATAGGTGCAGCCGTGGGCTGAATGAGTGGTGCGGCCGTTTGTGTATTGAGATGCGGACCCGAGTGCAGTCCTGTTTGCGAACTGAGTTGTGAATGACTTGCTGTCTGTGTGGCGGACGGCTGTGCCCGCGATGACATTGGCGTTTCCATTGTATTGGATGACGACCCGAAGTCGTATCGTATCATTCCTGATCCCGATGTGCTGTTGTGAACGATTGGTTGAGGAGTGGCGGCCAATTGCGGCGAAGATGCAGGCGCTGTAACATTAACAGTGGTTGAAGCCTGAGTTGGTGGCGCCGATAGCCCGAGCCGTGCAGCCAATCGTGTGATGATGTCGTCGTCGTCGATGATGTCGACCACTGATGCGCGAGCTGTTGCAGTTCGTGGTGAAGCGGCTGCTCTGGTGAGTCTGCGACCAGTTGTGACTCGCGGTAGTCGTCCTCTACCTCTGCTACTCATTGCGAATGACTTGCAAAAAAACGCGTGGACTTCAATGCAGTGTTTGTGTCGAAATGCGACGATTGAGACGATAAATGCTGTGTAGGGATTGATATCCTGTGCCGATTGCGCCAATTGAGCGACTATTGAGTCACTCTTAATGATAATCAGTCGCGATTTGAATCAAATAAGAGTTTTATTGAATAAATTGGACTGAAAATGAGATACAAAAATGGCGTTCAGGTATGACTGAGCGCTGAGTTAAGACTGAAGGGCTATATGAGGCATAAGAGCGCTAAATAGACAAAAGTGCGCTCAAAAGTACATAAGAGTATTGATTGAATGAGCGATTGGAGAGACATCTGTCTCAATTATATGAAACTAAATGTAATAATTTAATTTAAAACAATGATTGCGCAATCATTGTTATATAAAATTTGAAATTGATATCACTGTTAATTAAATATTAATCTATTTTGTATTTGTAATATTAATATTCAATAATGTAATTAAAGTTCATTTTGATTATGATTTATCTTAGAGTTGATTCAATTATTTATCAGTCTCAGCGGTGTTTTATATTAAACTAGGCTCTATTATACCTCATTCTTAACGGTGTTTTATATTAGACTAGGCTTGTAATTTTATCATTTGGGAATAGCTTTTAAATACAAGTCTAAAATGATATATCTGTCTATAGTAGTGTATTTACAACTCAAGGCTTGTGCGTAAAAACAGGTAAAATTGTTAATCTAGGATAAGGAATTCACAAGTTTTAAAGATATTTTTCGCTCTGTGCATGCTTCGTTTTATAAGCTTTTATTCCCGATTTGATTCCAGAATTTGGTCTTTTTGTACTTCCAATTCCTCCCCCCCCCCCGAATTTTAGTGTTTTTATTTACGAACAATATAGGCTCTAACTGTAAGCAATACTTTCAAATAAGCACCTAGCTCATTTGTGACAAAATTTACTCAATATATGGCTCACAAATCAATTGAAAAATAATTCACAATTTGTTTGTTTGAAATGTCAGTCAATTGGTGTAACAGTTGTTGTGAACCATATATTGTTTGTCCAACACTTGAAAACGTATTGTTGTTGTGAAATGAGTGACTCTTCAGACATCACTGCAAACGCTTCCAACACTCGCAACACATCACCAGATGGTGGACACAAAGTGGTCTTCAAGAAGAAGACTCGTTTTGGTCAACAAAGGCGTCAAATGAAGACCAATACTGAAGACGAGTCGCAAGTGTTGGGCGAAGAAGAAGACGACGAGTGGAAGCGTTTGCATGAATTGAAACAAACACAACACCTGAGGAAGAGATCCAATAAAGGCATCGATATCTTAGAGTTGACTCAAAACCCTATTGTTATCACGAATACCAATAAGACTGAGATCAAGGGTGGCATCACTTCCGACGTGAAGACATTGACCAATGAATTAGATTTGGGAAACACTTTCTCTGTGGAGACCAACCGTAGAGACGAAGACACGGATCTAATGAAGTACATCGAGGAAGAGCTCTCGCGACGCAAAGGCAAACAACTCGCCAACACTGACAACAAGTCTTCAGTGCCGGTCAATGTGTCCAATGATATGAACGTATTGTTCGATGTATTGCCCGAACATCTGATCCAAACAAACGCCAAAAAGAGCGAAGAAATGCTTTCAAATCAAATGCTTAACGGAATCCCAGAAATAGAGTTAGGATTAGAAGAGAAGATTCGAAACATTGAGGCGACAGAAGAGGCAAAGAGTAAACTAATGGTGAAGAGGAATAACAGATGGAATGAGGGAAACGCGTCTTCATTTGTTCCCAACAATATAGCCGTTTGTTTTGTTCAACACAATCGCTATAATCTGCCGGAAGACGTGCCGCGACTCAGCACTGCTCCCAAACGGGTTCGGGTGGACGACAGACAACAGACACAGACATACGTCGACGAACCGGTGGTTGTGATCGGCGACGAACCCAAACAAAAGGCTATCTTACAGAACAACGGTTCCGATCGAAACCACAACAAGTTTTACGGCAAAGACAAGGCGTCCGACGATTATATTTTCGAGAAATTCAAGAAACAATTTCGAAAGTTTTGAGTTATTTGCAAATATTTCCTCGAATATGACCACTAGTTCTAAAGCATTGTATAAAACATTGTATTTACTGTCAATTGTAATAAAAACGATCATTAAATTTATATACAGTATATTTAAGTAATTTATTCGGTTTATTAAACATTTATAAAAAACATATAAAATTTTAATTTAGTTCTTTAAATATTTATAAAACTTTAACTCTTCAAACGGACGTCTCGTCTGTAACCACAAAATCCACTTTATTTTGTCGAATCGAGACCTGAGTCTTACCGTTGAAGGCCATCTGTGCGGTCGTGTCTTTGCCTTTTTGGACACACTTGCGATTCGGAGAAGTCTTAGTTGTGATACAATTGCGAATTGTATTCAATAATGTCATGAATTGGTTGTATTGGTCTAAACCGAAGTGAGGGTACGGTTCATGTCGTGCACTGTTATAACTGTCGACGAATTGATTGATTAGTTTTGTATCACAATTATTGAGAGGGCCGTCGTCTTTGACTAGTCTTAGCAAATAGTATCGCAAGTCCTGACCCGGAGGTCTCTTAAGACTACAATCGGCGGTCACTTCAACGATGTCCGCCTCCAGTGTTGCCAAAGAGTCGATGGCTTTCATGCGATAAATGTGTTCGTAATTCTTCTCCTTTGCTGTCATTTCAACACAAAATCACAGTTAATATAAAGCAAAGCAATGGTTAAAAAACTATTGTTTACATTCATTGGACTCGAAGTGAAGATAATTCAAGAGATTTGGTTCGTAAGTGATGTCTCGGACAACAGTTAGCTTACTATCGATTCGTTGTTTGAGAACTTTGGGCGCATCTCTTGCCAGAGGAATGTGTGGAACAAATCGATTCTTCAGCGATAATCTCATGATTTGTCTTTTGGCGAAAATAAATAGCAATACAAAGATCTGAACACAAAATTCATTACAATTAGCATTTCATCGCAAGAGTTGATCCCGTCTTTTGAGTTACCAGTATTCCGATGGCTATACAGATAATGGCCGCCACACCAGAGATGTGATAGTCTTCCGATGCCATCCTCTTCAGCACATTGTCTTCATATCAATCACTCAGTAATTAAATTGCAATGAATTTCATAATGAAATGAATTTAATGTTTAAAAACAGTGACTTTTAACACAATCTGCGGATTGTTGTCATTCTTGCTCTCAATCAATACATTACTCAATGCATGCATTCATTCATTCATTCATTCATTTCAATGCAATTGTCATAAAAGCCGTCATTTGTGCGAAACTTCTCCAAAACTTTTAAATGTGAGAAAAACACATGTTTTATAGAAACGTGTTTTCAGTGTTTCTTTGAATCGGTTTTGTGTTTGTCTTCACCAGTGATTGTGTGACCAATTGTTGTGATACTTGTCGTGATTTGTGCGGACACATCACCGAAGACATGGCCACCTCTTTGTCGACTCAGTTGTCTCGCCTTCGAGTGCCGCAGACGTCGGCCCATAAGGAAAGGCGAGGAATGGTATCGTTTTTGTATGACTTTCTTGAGGCCAAATCCATCGACAATGACATGCATTACGCGATCGCTGTCTCGGGTTTGGAGGCATTGATCCGTTTGGACACAAGTATTGAAAGGTTTGGCGAAACGCTATTCAATGAGTCGAGTAAGACATTAGACCGAAGCGTTCAAAGCCGTGAAGCGAACCAAGACTTGGACACAGAAGTGGAAGCATTCCTCTTCACTGTTGTCTCGAAATACTTTTTGCTGAACTCAACCCATAAGACAATTGAATGGTTGATATATAGGTATGGCGTTAACCAATACAATGCGGACGCACTCATAGCCAGCGTTCTTCCCTATCACGAGACCCGACTCTTTACACGTCTTCTGCAGACCTGTTCTCACGTGAAAGTGGAGTCAAGCAAATGGTTTTGGTTGAAAGAAGTGCAGACATCGGGATCTCCTTTGCCTAAAACCACTTTAATAACGCATTGCATTTCCGACACTAGATTTTTGCACTTTATTTGCGATAATGTGTTTAAATGTCTTAAAATTGACCAAAAAAATAGCACTTTCTTAACATTTTATGTTTCGGTTATAATCAATGTTATTGAAAGAAATACAAACGAATCGGTGGTTTCAATAATCATTGGATCAGTTATTAAAGGTTTAAAATCAAAGAATGATTCCTTAAGAAAAGCTTGTCTTTGTATTTGTGGACACATTTGTGTGAGAATACAATTGCAGACAAATATTAGCCATAAATTATTGAAAGCAATGGCCAAACGATCTGAATGTCTAATGACTGAAGAATTTTTCCTTACACTCTCTGTTATGAATCGATTGCAACGTTTTAATGAATTACCACTGAATCTAATGCGAGGCATATCTTGTGATTTGCTGATTGAATGCCATGAAAGACATGACATCCAAGACTTGATTTGTTTGCTTCTCAGAAGTTTGATAAACAATTGCAGCGAAAACGACATAAATGACAAACTACTGAATATTATCGATAAACTGACATTCAATCACCAATCGATTGACACTTGCATTCAAACAATAGATAACTATTTGAGAAGCGATGAAATGGATAAACCTGAGACTTTTGGTCACATTTTCTCTCTCTTTGAACGCCGATATCCCGTTCTTTTGGACTCTTCTCTATCAAAATTAGACTCCATTTCTTCGATCCAGTGTTTCCTCAATTCACTGAAGTATTCATTTTTAGATAATTCAAGAGTTCCTCTAATTTTTGGTTTAACTCATATCAACGAATCCATTCAAATGGAAGCAATCGATTATTTGCTCCAAAACTTTGATTCATTGGTCTCACAAAAGGATGAAATGCTTATGACATCCATTAAAAGTCTATTGTCAGAAGCATTTGCCTCCAAAAGCCCGCAAATATTAATATCAGTGTTTGGTTTAAAAGAGAAAATGTTTAAAATATTAACTGAAGAGGAGATGAGAGAAATATGTCAAAACCTATTAAACATATGCCGTATGAAAGACACTGACGATGACATGTGTTGGCGTCAACTCCAGAACTCAATTCTGGCCACTTATTGCTCCATTGATAGCCTATACACAGACGTTGACTTCTCTTTCATATATCCCTATTTGTTGCCATTAAATCGATCCGATTTTATAACTCTTTCAATAATAATGAACTCAAAAAGAGCCAAAAATATTGAAATTTTGAATTCTCTGCGAAAGAAACACAAGAAACTGTTTGAATCAGACGTTGACGAAAGTGAGATAATCTCATCCATTGGTATTGTTTTCACACATTTCGCCGAATATTATATTGAAAACGAGAGTTTAATTTGCGAGAAAAGCTTTGTTCACATCAATCACAGCTTTCATTACCTCCGATCATGTGTTTTAAGTTTGGTTTTATTGGAGAGAATACATCGACTTTCACAAGATGTTGGCGTTAAGGAGAAAAGCGCTAATATTTTGGTCACTTTGATTGAAACGATGCTTAAATCATTGGATATCTCGCGACCGAAAAACAAACATTTGTGCCATTCGTTTGAAGACTTTTTGAGCCATCAATTAAGGAATTTAAACCGAAACAGAATTAATTTAATGGATATTATGTTTATAATTAATTCACTGATTCAGTCGATTGAGCCGTTGGTTGCATCAGAAACGGACGCTTGGTTTTGGTTCAAACAATTCAAGTCCAATAACTATTTGTATAAACTATTCACTCTATTGTTCACTAACTCTTATCAGCAAAATAAGGGCAAATCTGCGGCTTTTCGTCAAACTTTTATAGGCTTTATTCAAAAGTCATTTAAAGTTTTTGGATACGAATATTTCAGCCCTCTTTGGACTAACGACTCAAATCTGTTATCTCAATGTCGTTCACTAGAAGTGGCCACTCATCTGACCGCAAATGATTTGCCATTTACTCAAATGACTGTCTTTTCATTACTGATTGCAATGCATTCGCCGATCAGTTCTTGTCGAGAATCATCTCTCGCTATAACACAGAATTTTCTACAAAAGTCTAATAATCCTCTATTAAAGGAGTGTTTAAATAAAAAGGAGCTCATAATGAGTGATGAAAGTAGTGTCAGTCGTGTAATCGCTGAATACTTTGCAACGAATCCAAGACATAAAAGTCAAAAACACTTAATCGAGTCAACGAAGAGTGAATTGATTGCTATTATTAGTGATGACAAAACTCCGGAACACTTTAAATCTGGAGGTGTTTTGCTTCTCAATCGATGCGACACTAAGTTATTGGAAGAAATTATAGGAAAACTCAACGTTTATTTGGATATCAAGTCACCGAACAAGTGTCAGATGAAGACAATAGAGTGTTTGCTATCCGTTTGCAGTGAACCAAATGTGTTCAATAACTCAGACACACATATAATCTTTAATTTCTTTGTTAACGCAATTAAGACGAAATGTTCGCAAGAAATGGCACTTAATATGATTGACAAACAATTTTTTGATTCGTTGAATCGTAAAGAATCTAAAATATGTGTATTAAATGAGTTGTTGGAAATTATTATCGCAAACAATGACAGAATAGCGAAGAAAAAGTTTAAAAAACTATTGAAAAGTGGAGATTTGATATCAGATTTATTGCAACATTTGGTTCCACTCGAAGATTGTGGCGATTCTTGCGAACCGAAAGCCAAACGCATGTTTACAAACGAATCGGTATTTTCGATGCAATTATCCAATTGGAAGAAATTCATTGTTTGTCTCGAAATGTTTCAATCAAAGAGCAATTTGACTGATGTCTCGGCTTTAATCAAACATCTGTTTGAATACTTGAAAAAGACTTTTATAATGGATTCGAAGAGTTCTTTGGAATATTTACGACAATTACTTCTTTCGTCACTAATTAATTGCATTCAACAAAACACAGAAAAGTTATCATTTATTCCCATCGAGTCTGTCATTGAATGTCTTCGCGAATCGCAGCAAAAGGAGACCCAAAAGATAGCATTGATTTTGATCAGTAATGTCGCGCATCTGTTCAACAAAGAAATTCTCGATAATGTGATCACAATATTCACATTCATTGGCACTAATTTAGTCCATTGCGACGATCAGTACTCAATTCAAGTGGTTTCGGACACAATGGATGCCATAATTCCTATACTTCTAAATGACAAAAAAGACACCAAAAATGTTGTGATCAATGTTTTCATTGATTCATTGCCTGATATACCGGCGCATCGAAGACTCAATTTGTTCGGCAAATTGTTGAAAATATTGGGAGAGAGGGAACACTTGGCTCTCATTTTCATGAGAGTTATTGAAAAGATTTACAATAAGTCAAAGTCAGAAAAGGAACCGTTTCTTAATTTGATTGTCGCTCTGAGCGCTCAAATAGATATTAACATTCAAATCGATTCACTCAACCAAATAATGGATGTCTTCACCAATGAGTTTACAGAAGGAGAAAGAGTTTTATCAATCACTGACGAGAATATGTCTGATATCGACAGAAGACTAATCGCTCAGAGTTTGGCTGAATTTATATTGAAAATTGTTTCGTCCAATGATTTCGTGAGAATCACTACAAACACTGATTGGATTCAAATTAGTGATCAATTGTTGGCATTTTTACATCGTTTGATTGTATTGATCACTAAATACTCGAATGAAAGCCAAACTCTTGCAAAGGAGTCGAACGCATATCGAAAGCGTGTCAGAAGTGTTTTATACAAAATTCTCCTTCACGTCAGTATTTTTACATTTTGTCTATTATTCGTTCAATAATTTATATTTTTATTGTAATTGTAGTTCAATTCTCTTCTCCCAAATGAACAACTCATTGAACTTGTTTTACAACTGCTTCAAAATGAATCCCTTTTAATACAACGAAAAGGTTTGGAACTATTGAATGAAAAGTTGGCACAATTTTCTGGACAAACTCTTGACGTAAGTGTTTTGAAAGTTATAAATTAAAAACTTTTTTAATGATTTAAATGGATTACCGGTAAAAACAATTTCAAATTGAATAACATTTACCTTTCAGTCCAAACAGTTGAGTGAACTTTTGAATCGCTTGTTATCAATGGTTCCGACGTGTGATTCAGTGAATCAAATGGATGAGCAGCAGATCTATAACACTCAGCTTTCAATGATTACATTAAAGTTATTGTCTAAAAATATTGAAGGAAGAAATGAAGTGAACCAAACAGTCATGAGTTTGATTCAAAAGATTATAAGTCTCGTCAAAGGAATGGATAGCAAAATATCCATCAATTTCAAGGCGTCGTGTATTCTGTGTTTAACTCAACTAATGATATATTTGGGAAATAATGCCATTCCTGTCATCCCATCATATATTCCCATAATATTAGACAATTTCGAAGTCCGGTAAATAACTTTTTATCATTTCATTTATTATACTCTTTATATACCAAATGATGATTTATTTTTCGTCACCTGATTATGAAATGAGGAAATAATTAACTGATTTTATTAATAATATGTCACTTAATGTTAATCAACATTTTATTCTTATTTGAATGTTATTATAACTTATTATTATTATTATTACCATTTGTGTAGCGATGAAGTGGTCATTATTTCTAATATTATGTCGATTTCGAAAATAACGCAAACATTTCCCCAATTTCTGAGTCCATATTTGGATCAAATAATCATAAAGGTTTGTTTCTCTTTAATTCTTACCGTTATTACAGTGTATTAATTTAATATTTGTACCGTTAGTTATTGACATCATTTAACAATTCTCCGCATATAAAACATAAATTGAAGTCAATTTGGGATAATTTTTCCAAAATGATTCCCAAACGAATCCTCTTGAGTTCAATCGACTCATGTTATAGTGAAGTATCAAAGATATCACTCGTGAGTTGATTAATATTTAATAGTATTATTGCGCCAATAATTAGATGTTAATTATGTTATTTCTGTTGTAATTGTTGTGAATAGGAATCGTTGTGCGAAATAATGTCATTATTAAAGCTGACATTTGAAGACGTGAACAATAAGAATGATATCCACAGTATTCACAAATATGTCAAATCAATTCTCTATAAGACATTGGATTTTCGAAATTTGAATCAAAATAGTGTAGAATTGGGAGAAATCGACAAATTGGAGAAGTCATGCAACGAGACGTTCTGTGCATTCATTCCTAAGATGACTGAAGTGACGTTTCGACCACTTTTTTATAAGGTTTGTTTGCAAATCTACTTTTGAATCAAATTTTATTATAATTTATTAAATGATTGATTAGTTACACGATTGGGCCATAAGAGAGAAGAACGGAGAACTATATTACAGAATGATATCGTTCTACAAATTTCTTCAGTCATTGGCTGATCGGCTGAAGAGTTTGTTTTGCGTATTCATCGCTCCGTCAATAATCAACAATTGTTCCCAAATGTTGTCTTTGTTTCACTCTAACAATGAGTCGGATTTAACACTTGACCCCAAAAGTTGTCATTTATTAATCACATCTATTCTGTCAACGCTTTCCAAATGTTTTCTGCACGACATTAACGCGACTCTTCTTAATAAAGAACGGATGCAAACGTTGGCCAAACCTATTATTAATCAGGTTTGCAATCCTTAACCATTGCTTTACTTTCGTTGACATTAATTATTTGATTATTTTTATAGTTAAGCAACACTTTAGGCACTGACGAAGATTATGGCGAAAGAGTGGAGAGTTTGTGTTTATGTACACAATATATGATTGAATCAAATCGAGACGAATTGATAATTAAAGACTTAAATTATCAAATACTTCTTAAAACGAGAGAAACTTCGAGTGATGTGAGTGTCTATTATTGAATTAATAGAGACATTTGTTGTAATATTGAATGTAATTTAGATCCGTTTGGGTGCTCTTCGAGTCCTCCATCGACTTATACTGGTTTCAGGTGAAGATTATTTGCCTATAATTCCGGAAACGATTCCATTCATCTCCGAACTGAGTGAAGACGACTCCATTGCTATCGAAACTCTTATTAAGACTGTTGTCACTGATTTGGAACAGATTTTAGGCGAACCCATCACTAAATACTTATAAATTAATTAAATATATACCAGATTTTATTAATTTAGTTGTATTTTTGTTTAGTTATTTAATATTCAATAAATTTTAACTAATGCCATGAAATGAATAGATTTATCATTTTTAAATTTGACAATAAAATAATTTTGTTACAAATAAAATGATTATAAAACTAAAAACTAAATTCACATGAAATGAATAAATTAAAAACAATTGCCATAAATATAGTCGAAAAGTGATTTGATTTAAGCGCTCAAAAAGGGGTGAAAACGATATGAATAATAGATTGTGTGAGCAATAGATGCCTATTGTATGGCAAGTGTAGACACAAGTGTTCACTCACTTCACAGTTTGGTTTGCTATCATTTTTGGCAATCATTTACTGATTGTTGTCTTCAATTCAATTATTGCATCAATTGGTCCATTGGTTCGCCACAAACAATGACTAGTAAGTGAAGACAGGATCACATGCCATGCGATTAAGTGCTCACGTGATGTTGTATTTATGATAATAGGAGGCAATCAGCGAGAGTTGGCCCGAGAGAAGAACCAGAAGAAGCTGAAAGACCAGCAGAAGAAGAAGGGCGCAGACAATAAAGATGGCAATAGAGGCATGACTTTGGAGGAGAGGAAACACCGGTTTATATGACACTCCTTAGCATTGATTGTCTTCTCGACCACTAATATCTGATCCGTTTCAGAGACGCCGAACTCATGAGAGAGAAGCAAAAGCTGGCCGCAGAGAAAAAGGGCGGTTCCAGTGGTGAGACCAGTGGTTCCACTGCCAAGTGATTTATTGCTTTAATTCAGTTTCCCATAAGTAGTGAAAACAATGTGTTTTTCAATTTTTAAACTCATCGCTAAATTCAACACAAAATCAAATGATCAGAAGTTTTATTATTAATGAGAAAAATGTTTTAAACAAATGTAAAGTCAATCAAAATTTGTGTCCATTTTTAATATTAAAATAAATTATTTATTCAACGAATCGGTGTTTGACTTGTTTGGAGACGACTGTTGTCTCGTATGTTTCAATGCGGTGTAATATCCCGTGTGATAACCACTCATATACCACGACATCAACATCGAGGCCAACGACTCGTCATCTGATGGCAGACTCGATGGCAATCTCATTGTGATCGGCGGCGGAATTATCGGTTGAGTAGGAGTTGTAAACCACGGCTGAGAAGAAGTTGTCGAACCACTGGATCTGTTTTGGCTTTTGTTTGGATTGTGTTTTTCTGGATTCACTGGCATTTGATTTGCAAAACTCTTGGTGTCGTAATCGGTGTCAAAGTTGGCGTTCACTTCTGGGCTGTCGACGGATGACTGCTCTGTCTGTTGTCGTCGACACCGTTTGCCGAGCGATGGTCTCAATTGATTGAGAGATTTGTGCTCTTCGTTTCCATAGCCGACGTATTTGACAAAACAGGTCTCGTCTGTGGTGTCAATCGATATGATCTGCGCCTCGTATTCAACGCCATCTTCGGTATAAGTGGTGCGACAATACTCTCCGGTCTGCCAGTCGTGGTCATAGTGTGCGGCACTCTTGTCACCGCCGGACGCGTCTCTTGTTTGGCGAGTCTTGTCTGCGAGCCGTCGGTTCACTTGTTTGACGGCGCGATCGTAAGCGTCGATCAGCGCTCTGTCGTCCCAAACGTCTTCTACCAAATCATCGCAATTCACGGATCGCTTCCACACCATGTCTTGCGCTGAACCACTCAATGACATCACTTATCGCTCGCCAATCGCTTCCACAAAGTGATCACTATATGTCCGCTAATGTCGAGACAACTCAATCGATCGCTCAATGGATTCAATTAGTGGTGAAACCAATGAATTGTGAGTCAAATGAAATGAAAACTCAATTAAATCTATTGTTAAATGTTTTCTTCATTTCTTCTCTCAATCTTTCGTTTGCTTTTGTTTTTTCGTACGTCTTTTATGAATGACTCATTACATTGGGGTTCAGTCGTTCCCACAAAACTTAATGTTCCTTAAAATCAATTGATTGTCATTTAATTGTAGCCAATATTTGGGAACAACAGCCAGAAGTTTGTCCCAAAAGAAGTCAATTATGAGTAAAGTGTGGAAAATAAGGGAATGTTTTCAACAAAATTCCCGCAAATATTATTTCAATTTTTGGGAATTGATGTGTAATTAGAGGGAATTTCTCAACACTTTGTGGTGAATATTTGAGTTATAGATTGTTTGCAAACATACCATCAGTGAAGTGATGAGCGCTTGAGTTGCCATCACTTGATCCCAAACTCATGGACAAAGCGATGAACAAATCCAACGCTTCCAGAAGCGCAAGACGTGAACAACTGTCACAACAGGAGAGACTCATTGAGCAAAGGAAACAAGAAATTGAAAACAAATTAAACCAATTGTCGTCTAAAGAGTCCAAAGAGTCTAATAATGACAGCAATGACGACAAGGAGTCGACGCCTCCAACCCTTTCAATTGAGCCCAAGAGTCCACAGACCAGTCAAGTGACGCAAACTGTGGCCCCAATTGATGCCAATGAAAGTCCCGCAGAAACGACGACTACCGCCGAGACATCGGCTCAATCTATTGTAAACAAAGTGAGGCCACAATTGGACCTAATTTGTGATGAATTATAAGTGTTTTGATTGAATCTCTTGTTGTCTTCCTCTTAGTTCCAAAACGACGGATCATTTTTGGCCAAATTTCTTGAAATGAATAAACAAAAGAGTGTTAAACAAGATATCGAACCGATTGAGAAGACAGAGACCGAAGACTCCAAGAAAAATATAAAACCAATTAAAATGGTTATTAAAGAGTGAGTGAAGATTGAAAAGCAAAGAGTTTGTTGTAAAATAAATTATTTGTGTAGAAATACATCTAAATTAAAAGCCATTTCTTCGTCCGAAACTTCAAATGTAAAACTATTTGAAGACGATATCAAAGGTATTGTTTAATGTTTAATAAACAGAAAGTCTATTGATATTGTATGACAATTCGGTGGCAACGGAGTGGAAGTTTTGTAGACATGAACTGATCCGATGCTTAAAGTCTCTCCACTAGAGGGTAAAGATATTCAAATGGCAATCGAAAGGACTGCTATTTCTGTCACTATGAATGGCGCCGAAGCCGAGGACAATATCCGACAGTCAAAGCTTGAGGACAACCTCTACAGGTCTGTCATAATTAGTTGAGATGTCATTGAAATGGTGTTTATATTTGTGTTCACGTCTTGTTTTTACAGTTGGCTCAGAGATAAAGAGTCAGAGAATTACAAATATTATCAGCAAAGAGTGGAAGAGTTGGGCGAAGCGAAAGTGAGAGCTCAAAACGATGGCCTTTTTGACGACAGTAATTGTTTAGATTCTCTTAATTTACTTATGTATCTATAATTAGTATATTATCTACAAATCAGGCGCAGAATCTTCCTCTTCGAGCAAACCTGTTAAGAGACAGAGAAAGTCTCGTTGGAGTGACGAGAAAGTGGCGACAATGCCATCGGATCCCAAATTAGTTGAGTACGCGATCCAAGTGTTTGGAACCACAGAACTGACTGCAGACCAATGGAAACAACTCGAAGATCAAAGAAAAATGAAATTACTGTTTGAAATGCTTCAGAAGAAGCAAAGGACGAACCAAATGCTGGCAAAGAGTGGAAAAGTAAAGTATGAATACGATTCGGACGAAGACGTGGAGGACGGCACGTGGGAACACAAGCGCCGGCGTACAATAAATTGCAGAGGGGAAACTTTTATATCATGGTGACCCATCATGGTAGACAAGCTTACGGCACTTCTGCTCAGGTCTGACTTAAGTACCAGCATAAACTCAATAAAATATTATTAAAACTATTATAAATTCACTTGAAAATGTTTTACATACAATTATTCGTTAATAATTATTAATATAGTATATTATTTAAATGATATTACAATAAATTGCAGAGACTAGAATTTTATATAATGGTGACCCATCATGGTAGACAAGCTTACAGCACTTCTTTTTAAATTCATTTGGTAATGTTTTACATACAATTATTTATTAATTAATTATTAATATAATATATAATTTAATTAATCCGACAATAAATAACAAGAGTGAGATTTGTATATCATAGTGACCTATCATGTTAGACAAGCTTACGGCACTTCTGCTCAGGTCTGACTAAAGTACCAGCATAAACTCAATAACAAAGTATTAAAACTATTTTAAATTCATTTCAAAATATGTTACATACAATTATTCGTTAATAATTATTAATAAAGTATATTATTTAAATGATATTACAATAAATTGCAGAGGGGAAACTTTTATATCATGGTGACCCATCATGGTAGACAAGCTTACGGCACTTCTGCTCAGGTCTGACTTAAGTACCAGCATAAGCTCAATAACAGATTATTAAAAATATTTTAAATTCATTTCAAAATGTTTTACATACAATTATTTATTAATTAATTATTAATAAAGTATATTATTTAAATAATATTACAATAAATTGCAGAGGGGAGATATTTATATCATGGTGACCCATCATGGCAGACAAGCTTACGGCACTTCTGCTCAGGTCTGACTTAAGTACCAGCATAAACTCAATAAAATATTATTAAAACTATTATAAATTCATTTCAAAATATATTACATACAATTACTTATTAATAATTATTAATAAAGTATATTATTTAAATAATCTTATATAAATAAACATCAGATATAAATATTTATTATGCTGACCCTTCATGGTAGACAAGCTGACGTTACGTCAGCTCAAGTGCCATTTTAGTACCAATATAAACTCAATAACAGATTATTAAAACTATTTTAAATTCACTTGAAAATGTTTTACATACAATTATTCGTTAATAATTATTAATAAAGTATATTATTTAAATGATATTACAATAAATTGCAGAGGGGAAACTTTTATATCATGGTGACCCATCATGGTAGACAAGCTTACGGCACTTCTGCTCAGGTCTGACTTAAGTACCAGCATAAACTCAATAAAATATTATTAAAACTATTTTAAATTCATTTGGTAATGTTTTACATACAATTATTTATTAATAATTATTTATAACGTATAGTATTTAAATCATATTACAATAAATTGCAGAGACTAGAATTTTATATCATGGTGACCCATCATGGTAGGCAAGCTTACGACACTTCTGCTCAGGTCTGACTTAAGTACCAGTATAAACTCAATAACAGATTATTAAAACTATTTTAAATTCATTTGAAAATGTTTTACATACAATTATTCGTTAATAATTATTAATAAAGTATATTATTTAAATGATATTACAATAAATTGCAGAGGGGAAACTTTTATATCATGGTGACATATCATGGCAGACAAGCTTACGGCACTTCTGCTCAGGTCTGACTAAAGTACCAGCATAAACTCAATAACAAAGTATTAAAACTATTATAAATTCATTTCAAAATATGTTACATACAATTACTTATTAATAATTATTAATAAAGTATATTATTTAAATCATATTACAATAAATTGCAGAGGGGAGACTTTTATATCATGGTGACCAATCATGGTAGACAAGCTTACGGCACTTCTGCTCAGGTCTGACTTAAATACCAGCATAAACTCAATAACAAATTATTAAAACTATTTTAAATTCATTTGGTAATGTTTTACATACAATTATTTATTAA